CACCGCCGTGGCAGGTGGCATCATGCTCGTTGCGCTTATCAAAACCGGCATGTTTATTAGTCTTATCCATTCTTGCCTTGGGAACATCTTGGCCAGTGACCAGACCAGCAATGGAGCTATGGCTCCTACCAGGAAGAACCAGTTCACCGATTGGTACGTTCCTAGGTCACCGAATATTCTCCGTGGTCCGATCAGTCCCCATATCACGGACGCGTCGAAGAACACTTTGTCCCCGGGACATGTCCAGACCGAGTTTGAGATCGTGGTGTCACAGATTTCCGGGATGGTTTCCAGTAGCCACCAAGCCGTTACGAGGTAAACCAAACACGATATAAGCGTTCCGACGATCTGAACTCGTTAAATCACGTAAAACCAGTAAAGGATATATATATATTGCATGTCTTGAGAAAAGGGTATGAATTAACTTGAGAAAGAGACTGACCTGAGCCATGAACATGGTCCGAGGTGGGATTTTCATGTAATGACCGAGCTTGAAATCTTGAAGGAAAGTGATGGCTTGCTGCATGCTTATGTATCCGTACACTTTGAAGCACATGTTAGCAACCGGGTATCCTGGATATATATACCCTATTATATACTCCGTAATGATGTTCAACCCAGGTGCCTACAACACAAAACCAACTCAATATTTTCATCGGATCGTTATAACATACAGTAATATCGAATATGGACCCACTGACCCTTACCTGGTTAGTGATGGCGGTGATGATGCCGATGGGGAGAGTGAAGAGAATGGCGATGGAACAGGCCAAGAGGACACCCCACCATGGCAACTGAAGCTGTTCTTTGTAATACTCACAGGCAAAGATGGTGGCTCCAACGTTGATGACGAGTATGGACCAGAACCACCAGTCGGGAACTTGCTTGTATCTGCTCATAAGCCTCGTGTGTATATCCATCTTCTTCTCCTTGAAACTCGCCTTACTCTGCTCCCATATCTCCCTTCACATCATATCGTATCAATCACATATATAGATTACATAAGAGAGAGAGGGGGGGAGAGAGAGAGAGATGTATACACCTTCCATGGAAGAGGGCGACGTGGACGATGGTCGCACTGAGGGCAGCGAAGCCGACGCCATAGGTGATGGCGAAGAAGGTGGTGATGTACAAAGGGCCTTGGAGCTCGTAAGAATGGAGGTCGAGGTGGAAATTCGAGTCGATGATGGAGGTGATGTTGTACTTTGACCCTTCCTTCGTGAATAGAGAGCTCGAGAATATCGGAAACGTCTTCGCCTTGTACACGTTTTTCCAGTAAAATATCGGCGTCAATACGTACATCACCAGCACGAAACCCGCCGCTACATTCGCAGTGGCAAACCTGTAATTTTATCACATTTTTTTTTTATCACATTTGATCATTCATATATATATATATAGTGGTATTCTTATACAAATTTTATCATAGAATCATGTGAAATGTTTGGGAAGAAAGAATCCGTACCGGAAATTTTAGAATGTTTGAATTCATATTAATTATGATATATGTTATTAATTTTTTTTTATGAAAGTGATGTGATATATATTATTATTTAAAAACTAGATCTCGTATACCCCTATTTTTGGCGAATTTAATAATCAATTAAAAGAGATTTTTTATTTATAATAAAAAAATTATGAATATTTTTATAATTTAAAAAGCGTAATATTCTAATTTTTTTAAAAAAAATTAAAATAATTTTATACATTTTAAAAACATAGAGAATATTTCTATAATCATGTTGGATAATAAGGGTATTCAACGAAATCCGAGTACTCATGCACATTCAAGTAACTCGTCAAATATATATATATTTTTTTAAAAAGTCACATTATATTCTTTTGTTTTATTTTGGTATGAAGTATGATGGAGAAATAGACTGACCATGGACTAGCGAGAGGGCTACCGAGGTATGAGGAGATAGTGGACCAATCAAGTCCAATGGCACCGATCCCAAGCCCATGAAGGCCCGACCCCATTTGTTGGGCCAAGACCGAGCCCGGAAAGGCCCAACACAACCACGACAGTGACGTCAGCATTTGGAATAAGTAGCCCGGCAACACGTAGTAAGCGAAGCTGCAAGCCAACGCGATCAGGAAGAACTGCGTACGTGTCAGTCCTCCTTTCGTCCGTTCTTCCTTCTCGTGCAATGCCCTGTCACCGTAACCCTGAATTCTAATAAATGTTTTCTGAAAATGTTTTTTTTTCATGCATTAAAAAGATATTTTTCTGTTTATGGGCCCCTTGTTTTTATGGCGTATTGTCAGATCATCATTATTTTTGCTTTGTCGTTTCCTCGACATCATTTTAACATGTGTTTACTGCATTGGGTCATCGTAAAATATAAGAAAAAATTATACCTCAGGCTGCGTAATAAAATATCCTACTTTTGTTATAAATATATACATACATATATATATATATATATATACCTGAATAATGAGACCTGAACAAGATTCGACGGCCACCACATCGCCGCCGGTTCAACTAGGTACCTCCGGAATATTCCCGCCCATCCAAACCCCAACACCTACCATTCGCAGTACATTGAACGATTATTCAGACAAAAAAAAATTGAGACAAAAAAGATGGAATCTTTGGACAAAAAACCTCAAATTCCGACCTGGGTCGTGATGATAACGATCAAAGAGACGAAAAACGTGATGTTTTTCATGTAAAATGCCTTCACAACAGTGACGACGTGTATCGCGTAAACAGAACCAGCTCCGGCGTTGGCGAAAATGGTGATCAAAACATGTTCTTTCACGTTGAACGGACCTGGATTCAACCCCAAGAACATAACGTTTTTTTTTTTCTTCCATGCTCATGGTATGAGTGTGGAGAACGGGAAAGACCGGATTGGGTTATTTACCAGGGTTGAGAGAAAATTCCCATTTGGAGCCTCTGAGGAAAACCTTGTCGGAGAGCTTCGCCGCCATGAGACGGCCGAGAGGGACGACGGCGATCTGAGCAGAGATGGCGGAGATGGTGAGAGGCTCTGTTCTGTACCAGAAGAACTGGTTCAGGAAGGACAGCACTACGCACGACACTGTTCCCAATACCCACATCCTGAACGTCAGAACCGGCAAAGATGGATCATCTGTTGTCGGAACCGTGAGAGCCACTTGTCGGATTGGAGAGTTCTCTTCCTCGCCGGAGCCGGAGATTCCTCCGGCGAAGCAGAGATCCTTTGTTCCTCTCGGTCCACATGATGATGATGATGGACTGGTCAGGTCTTTTGTTACTGCAGTAATTATAAAACAAGAAATCCAGAAGTCCTTGTAAATTCCAGGAAAGATAACATGAAATGAAATTCAGGGAAAACGATGAAGAATTGCAATTACGCAGAGGAGCTTGTTCTGGTTCTTCCATGCCGTCTTCTTCTTTCTCCTTCTTGCTATGTCCGTCTTTTAAAAATGACAACTCTACAAATTTGGAATAAGTATTGCCCTTTGGTTACAATATTTATTATTTTTATGGCATCGACTAACAATTCTTATAGAATATATATGTATATATATATATATTATATATTATATATATTGGTTATACTTACATGCCATGATTATCTAACCCTAACTGTTTGTTTATTTCTTTGTTTATGCGTAGAGTTGGTCAACTTTAAATTATTCTGGAACAAGTAGTAGTTCCATAAAGACGTTTTTTTTCTTTTGGTAAAAACATCTTATTTCTGTAAAATATCAACGGAGTCATTTATAAATAATAAATATTACCCCATAACATTTGATTTTTTTCAGGGTTCGATTTTATGTCGATAGATCTCGTTGATTGCGTTATTTTATATATGATTTTTTTTTTCATTTGCGATTATTTTTTCAATTTGTTTTAATTGAAATTTAAAAGCTCAATAAGTTTCATTATACATAATCAAATCATACATTTTCAATATTTACGAATATACACCAATGCCTTGAAATTTGATAACGTTAAAAAAAATTATGATTATGAACTAAACAAAATTTATGATTATGCATAATCAAAAGAATTAGTTAATAATAATGATGATGAATGATGACAATAACAATAAAGATTATCATAATCCATGAAAATAATTGTGATTAATTTTCCTCAAAATTTTCATATTTTCCATTCATTTCACAGTCAATCTTAACAGATTTGATACAAAATGTTAATTATCTTGAAATAAATTTGTAAATCTAAATTACTTACTATTTTGGATAAAAGAGAATGGTTTTAATTTTTTTTTTTATCTCTATGCATTAAGTTAACACGAGGGTATGTATATAAAATGCAAATAGAGAGAAAGTTTTAAACCCAATTAATATATATTTAAAATGCAAAGAGGGAGAGACAGAAAGTTTTTTCATTGGAAACTTTTTGTTTTTTTTTCCGAATTCCTTGGATAGAACATGAATAGCCAATGAAAGGGCGACACGTATAAGATAATCGTAGACCCCCAACGTCCCTTTCAGACCGCTTTTTTGCTTGTCAGGCTTTGCTAAGCCAACCCGGCCCCCATCCATCGTTTTCAGCAGTGGTCAATCTGAAATTCTGTGTAATGATTCAATTATAAAATTTTCCATTTATAATCATTTTGTACAAGTAAATGTGTGTGTGTCTCAGCAATTTACACGTCTGTTGTTTCGCGTGACGAAATATCATTGAGTATTACATTTTTTTTCCCCAAGACAGGGCGGATCATATGCGCACAAACCTAAAATGTTGGGGTCAAATTGAAAATATTGAAAAATAAGAGTCACTAAAGAAAAAGAGCGGAACACAGTTAACAACTTGATGCTTCCGTTTGTGTTCAGACCATCTCGATGAAGAGACTGGCCTGAGGATGCAAACCTGATTCTTTAAGAGACCGAGAGAGCTTGAGCTTGTCTCTTCCGTAAACTGTTCTCGGGAGGTTTGATATTATGCTGTATCCTTCGGTTTCTAAGACGCCCAGAGAATCTACGTAGTCGTACACTGTCTGTATCGTATCCGTGCTTTGAAGCCTCCTGCCCTTCCGTTCTCCGTTCTGGAATCTCACCAGAACCTGCATTCCAGAGCGAAATCCCGCATGCTTTTGGATGCTCTTATAACTGCTCTAGATCTCGTAACAGTATACTCTCGGCCGTGTTTGATTGAGTTCTTGCAAGAGACTACAACTAATGTGATTCTCTACCCGATCAACACTGCCCTATACCGAGATTATCTTTTACATAGGGTATGTAAACTTCATAAAGAAGAATCATTTGGAAGCTTCCCTTACTTGTGTAACATCAGTGCCTTTTTCGGATTCCTCTCCAAGAGAAGGGGCTTTCACTTGTCTCCTTCTATCCCTCGCGGCTTCTCTCTCTGCAGCCTCTCGTTCTGCTCTCTCCCGAGCCTCTTCTTCCTCCTTCCGTTTCCTCTCAATTTCAGCAGTTTCCCTCTCTAGACGCTCTTGCTCTTCCCGTCTCTGACATTCCCTTGCCTTATAGACAGACACAGGACAATTGAGAAACTCGGAAATAGTAGCATATCGGCACATTCTTTGTTCTCCCTAACACGTAGAGAAAGCAATCTACTTGATCAGCTGCGAGGGCTGCCCTGTAAGCAGTGTCTTGTTCCTCTCTAAGACGCACATCGTTTCTTCTTTCCTCGGCCTCGGTCCTAGCTGCTACAAGAACAGGTGAACTTTCCTCTAGCACTCTCTGGAGTATAGTGAGCATTTCTTCCGGAGTTTTACGTCCCGCAACCTACTAGTAACAAAAAAAGTAAAGCCAACAACTTCAGAGCATTGGCCTCCTGTCACACCAGACAATGCTAAAAGCATAAAAGGTGCTGCTCCCTACACATGACGTACATATTGCCTGAGGTATTCGAGACATGGAAGAAAGTCGGAATCAACAACAATGCTACATTCTATTTCTGGACAGTTCAACGTGTTAGCCAAATAGATTCAGCTCCAAGCAAGCAGTTCTCGGATCTTTTGCATAAGAACCTAATCACCCAAGGCAATCTAACCAGTGCAGAGGTCATTACCAAATCATTGATAACTTAAAGCCCACATAAATTGTTTCCTAGATCATACCCTTCAAATATAGCAAACAGAAACACTCCAACAAAAGGCCAGAGCATCTATCGATTCTCACCTGCTGAAGAAGAGCGATTCTCTGATTAGCAGCCGGCATAACCACTGCGCAAAAGGGGAATCTAGATGCCTTCGAGCTGTCACTCATCTTGAAGCCCTCACTGGCTCGAATACTTTGCCCCCCGGAGACAAAGTTCTTGTTGACGAAAGCAGCAAATACTTCGTTGCAGAGCGTCCTCTCGCAGAAGGCAGGCGTGTCAGGATGATCCTGAGAGTGCAAGTAAACAAACAGCAGCTTGAACCCATTCCTTGACTGCTGAAGCGCGTCCATGAACCCTTCCGACACAAAGTTAGGCCTGAAAGAGCTATCATACTCTCTCTCGAACGCAGCCACGAATTCTGCCGCCGAAACCGACACAAGCCAGGCGGACGACTCGGAACTCCGACCCGATCCAAGCCCAAAATACCAAGCGAATACGAAAGGACTCCACCAGCAGCCCACAATCCCAACCCGATCGCACCTGAAACCAACCCTAAACTACCAGACACGATCGATATCGGTAAAGTAATGATCCTCCACGCCACTCCCGGTGGTCTACCTCCGCCGCCAACTCCTATTCCGTAAAATTCCGTATGGCCGACGGTATCGCGAGATGGAGAATCGTTCATTTCTCGGCCGCCGCTACCTCCACCTGCAGTGTCGGCGGAGCAATTCCCGCCGTCAGAGATGCCGGAAGAAGAAGAGACGTTGTTCGGATCGGAGGAAGTGAAGGAGGAGATCGCGAGTTCAAGGTCCCATCCGTGGGCCTGTAGAATCTCGGTGCACAAATCGGGATCTTCGAGGCCAGTGATCGCTTGGAAGTAAGCCAATTTGTCGGCCATATCAACCATGATCACAGACGATAACCCAACGGAGGCCAAAACCCAAGGGTTTTCCCTCGCTTTTCTCAGAAAGATTTGGGTTTTTTTTCTGCGCATTCTGTCTGTCTCTTCGTCTCTAGAAACTGGAAACTGTTGAAAAATTGTTGATATGTTCATGAGCCATGACGACAGCTTTTAGCAAATGCCGAAATGACCCTGAAACTGAAGCTTTATGTCCAGTTGACGTAAAACGCTGCCGTTTCAGACATACATACATACATACATACATACATACATACATACATACATACATACATACATACATACATACATACATACATACATACATACATACATACAATCCACGAACTTTTATATACGAATCATATGTAGAGTTTGCGTTTGTGAATCTAATTACTTTTGGGCTTTTTACAAGTCACTTAAAATTGCTTCTGGCCCATCGAAGCCCTATTAAACGGGTCTGTATTCCAACTCAGTTATCTTTCCCTTTTTTTTTATTATAATTTTTAGAAAAATAGTCTTTTGTGTACATGCAAGAAGTTGACTTTCTTTCAGTATTTATTTATTTTTTCACAAAGGATACTCCGTATTGATTGGGCATTCATGAAATGATATGTACGTATCAATTGTTTTTTTCATGTACTTGTTGTGGATAATGATTTAATTGATTAATAATTTTAAGGTATTTGAAAACTATATGTAAACTTGGTTCATTTGGCACAAGAGTCCATATTTTTTTCAAAGGGCAAACCCAGGCGCATGTTAGTTGGGTCCCATAAAAAAGGAAAAAGGAAGGAGTCCCCACTCAAACACAGAAAGAATTATCATGCGCCATTTTATGTCACTTGAAACTTGAAAGTACTCTAACCGACTCCATTCGCTTCTCCCCCTCTGCTTTAATTGTTTTTTCTTTTCTTTTTCTTTTTTTCTTTTCCTTAAGAGAACCAAATTTTATATATATATATATTCAAATTTTAGTTCAAGTCGCTTTCGTTTTTTTGGAAATTTCAGAAACCCTTAGATCACATTAAAATATTAAAACATTTAAAACAAACAACAAATGGCAAATGAATGGGATAGATAAGAATCTCAAAATTTATGTATAGAAAAATAAAATTTAATGAAAGTTGAAAAGGAAAAAAACTAAGGCTTTCAAAGATTAGAATGACTCTTCTTAAAGTTGAGGCCAAATAGATTAAAGTGGTGTCAAATCACAAAAACGCATGATTAAATGGATATGTATATAAATATAATGAAAGAAATTTCAAGACTAGATGAACCCAAAGAAAAATAAATCGAAATTTCGATATTTTTATGCCAAAAAAAAAAGTTAAAGATATATTTTTTCGGGGGTGTATTTTTCCAACCGTATGACGAACGAGAAGAAGATAATCAAAGGTAGGCCAGGAAAGGAGGTGCTTCGTGGCACTTTCAAAGGCAATGATTAACATAATGATTTCCACCGAGATAATATTCCAACAGATCAGTCCAAATTGTACGACTGCCCAAAACTTTGTTTTAAAACTAAGAAACCCCCAAACAACTTTAACTATTAATTATCCATATATATATACACACGCACGCCAAGTACATAAGCTATACAAACTGAATTGCACCGAACCACTTGTATATCTTTATGTATTATACCACTTGACATTTTGTTTCTACATATGTAGGGACCATAATGTATACCTACGGTGGATTAAGCTTTGATTATATTTAAGTATAATCTAGAGATAGTTTACTTTCTAAAATATGTTTAAGGAAAAAAAAAACACATTTAGCTACAGGCAAGGGTCGAAAACGGATTTGGTGCCTTTGGTTACCAGAACATCAGAAGCAGCCCATAATCTGGCAGCTTCGGCGGAGTTGGAGGCGAGCCAAGACGGCGTCGTTTCGTTGCAGTCCGCGAAGTACTTCCCCGATACGTTCACCAACCTCGGGCTTGTCGCCACGTAACTTGGGGGCGAGCCAAGACGGCGTCGTTTCGTTGCAGTCCGCGAAGTACTTCCCCGATACGTTCACCAACCTCGGGCTTGTCGCCACGTAACACGTCGTCGCCGCGGCCTCACCATTCCAAAAATAAATTATCAAAAAGAAAGGCCTAAAGGGAACACTATAAAATAAAAAATTTAAAAGTATAATAAATCCATTAACTTAGTTTTATGGACATAATAGATCCAACTTAATCCAATATGAATACGCGGTGTCCTTTTGCATCTTACAATTTATCCCAACCGAAGACATCAGAGGTAGTATTTTTTTTTATGTATATGATAAAATCATTGATTTCTTTTTTTAAAAAAAGAAACTTACTTGAGGGATGGTCTTGACCAGCTTGGAAGCAAAGAAGAAAGCAAGAGCTGTTTTGTTCAGGCAGGCGAGTCGTTGTTAACAACACTTTTATTGATAAACAAAAAGCTACAATATAAAACTATAGAAAGAGGACATCACTACAAGTAATAGTAATGAATTACCCATTATATATGTATGTGTGTATATATAAATATATATATTCGTGATGATTACAAGAAAGAAACTAGGTTGTAGTATAACCAACCTGTGAAAAGGCCTTCTCGTTCTCTTGTCAAACGGGTCCTAACAATGCCTGGGTGTACACAGTTCACAGTCACATTCCCTCCCGATTTCTGCATTTGTTTTATACCATTCATCTTTAGGATAAAGAAACCATGTACTTCTATACATAGCCCATTTACTTTTATACATAACCCATTTCAAACAATGCATTTTGGCATTCATTCGACATGCATATGCCCCCACCGGAGAAAACCACACGCATACCAAATCTATGTTTTTTTTTTCACATAAATCTTCACTTTTCACCAAGTCAAAATAATAGGTATGTGCTTTGACTAATGTGCATATAAATATAATAAATATATTGTGAGAGAGAGAGAGAGACCTGGAGAAGGGAAGAGAGCTCCTTGGTATGCAAAACGTTGGCGAGCTTCGAGAGAGCATAAGCACGTGTTGGATCGAATTGACTGATCGGTCACACACACAGGAGAACAAAAAAGATATAATTAACATCGACAACACATCGAAAGGTCAAACCCCCCCACTTCTCTTCTGCCTTTTTTCATTTATTAACCCCGCAGTCTACACTCTCTACTCTTTTCACTCCGAAGGCTTCTTTACGGCCGGAAAAGAAAAAGGAATGATAAACCACGCATTTAATTTTTTCATTTTGACTGTAGATGTTCTATAAAAAAAACTTTTGAATTTTGTTATTTTTTTTTTATTTCAACATAGAATTGTATATGTTTGACAAATAAAGAAAAAAAAAACATTTCATATTCAGGTATAACAATATAACTTATTTAGAGGAACTAATTATTGACTCTTAAACACTTTCAATACGTATTACTTCCTCTTATATGTTTTTTTGGTAATTTTCCATATTTGTATAATTTGGATATATTTACTTCCCCGTTTGGATATATTACCGTGAGCATGAAGTATTTTAGCTTAAAATAACTTACCACTTTGGTCGGGAAATCTGCCGGAGGTATTCGATCATATCACCTTCAAACCAGCCATGGATTCCGGACGAGACGTTCACAATCCGACCTTGGACGCCCGATTCTTCTGCCGTTTTGATCATCTTCTGAAGCAGCAGCTTGGTCAACAGAAAATGGCCTGATAATTTTTTTGTTTATTCGTTAATGACAAGATTAGCAGAAAATTATGCGATTAAAGCGGATGAATTCGTAATCATGATTAAAAAAATCACCTAGATAATTAGTTGCAAACGTCATCTCGATTCCGTCTTCCGAGATTGCATGTTCATGTGCAAACTTGCCTGCGTTGTTTCTGATTCGATGTATTTAAAAAAAAAGGAACAGAAAGATAATATTAAAAAACTTTGAAGAAAAAAAAGAAGTGAGATTCTGTTTCAGTTCGTATAGGTTACTGCGTACCCAAACAGCAGACGTGCACGTATATATTTACGTATGTATGTTTATACGTACGAAATCCAGTGAGAAAGAGAGGAGAAGGAGAGTAAATTTTAAATTTTCCTTACGTTTCTCTGCATCCAAACGGCAGAGATATACGCTAATTTATTTAAACGTATATATATACTACGACGCGTCTGTTGCAGGAAGAAGGGAGGAATACAAGGAAATCCAAAGTTTTGGGTTCTCCTTCTCTTTCTTGGCAGCCAAAGAGCAGTATAGACATGCATCTAAACAGAGAAAATTTTCCGGGAAAGTAAAACAGATGGAAGCATATTTAATTACACAAATAAAACAGATGCGCGAAATTTCCCTGAGATGATAAAAACTAATTATAATTTTGACTTACATGAGAAGATGGAGAGGGAGACGGAGAGACTCGAACTCGGAGACGAAGCTTCGCACGGAAGAGAGAGAGCTAAGATCAAGCGCCATGACGATGATCTCCGCCGCCGGAGATTCAGCGACGATCTTCGCCTTCGCTTCCTCTGCTGTCTTCACGTTTCTCGCCGGTAAGATCAGCTTCGCTCCTCGCTTCGCCAGCACCCTAGCCGTCTCCGCTCCAATCCCCGACGTCGCGCCTAACCATCACCAATCAAAAATGAAAAATCCGAAGATTCAACACCGAGAAAAAAACACCACAAAACGGAGCGGGAAGATAAACTCACCAGTGATTATGGCGGTAATGGGGCTGAGGTCGCTGTTCTCGGTGACATCGTCGGCGGTGGATTTGGAGCCGAAGCCGCTAGCTCCAGCGAGGCCGATGAGATATCTTCCCGTTCCGATCATCGTGGTTTTTCTCCGGCGTAACAGCTTTTCCGTTACCGGTGACTGCTGTAACGGATGCAAATTGGCGGAGAGGAAACAAAGAGGGAGAAACAGAGGTAACAAAAGGAGGAGGACGAATGTGGTGCCGTTTTCAGTTACGAAGGGTATAACGGTAAATACACAAAGAGAGGTCGAAAAAGAAGCTCTGTTGTTTTGTCAGGTTTTGTAGCCTACGCCGCCTGGCATAGAGTGTGCTTGAGAAAGAGAGAGATGAGAGAAATTGGCAATGCCTTATTTATAGTGAACATTGTTGGATGAATCCATGGTCTTTATATATATAAAAAAGGACAAATTGAGGGGAAAAAAATTAAGTAAATTTTATAGATTTTCGCTAGGGGTGAATATTTATGTTCTAATTTGATTATTAAATGATTTAATTTGTTAGATTTAAAGATTATATACACTAATACTATATTCATTTATATATGATTCAATTTTATTAAATAATTTATTCTTTTTCAAATGTTTTTTACAAAGTTTTAATTAATTACACTTGATTCTAAAATTTATTCAGGACACCGTTTTATACCCTTAGATGCAATTGTTTCTATATACCTTAAAGGAATTATATTTATTTATTAGAAAATATTTCTTTTTAGTTTTCAAAATAATTAACTTGTGCCAAATGTAGAGAATTATATAAATGATGGGGAAAAAAGAATCTAAGACTATTCAATTCAATGTTATGGGAAATGAGATAAGGCAAAATAAATTAGGAAATAAATCATTAGGTTATGATTTGATATCCATAATTAATGTATTATCATGTGGGACTCAATGATTTTTAGAAAAAAAAACAGTAAACTGTGCATTTGTATCTGGTGTTAATTGGGTCAAACCAAATTAATTTGTTTTACAGGAATGGTTAGACAGCTGTCGATCTTCTATTCGTTCTTATAAGATTCAGAAAGTTCTATGATTGACTAATTCTAATTGATCGTAATTATTTTTTTATTGTGACAATAAAAATAAAAATTGCTTAAATAGATGGTAATTAGTTTAATCGTCTACGGGAATCATTATGTAAAATGGTGGGTTATCATTTTTTTTTACTGATTTGTAATTTTTTATTGTAGTATTAATATTGAATTAATTTTAAATAATTTGAACCTATTACCAAAATCTTGAAAAATAAACATGTAGTATATAAAGATATGTATAATTTTATAATTTTGTTTGCAAGCAAAATGATATTTGCTTTTCTTTAGTAACCATACTAAAATGTCGTTAAAATATGGAAAAACAAATTACATTATTGATTTACCCGATTATTAATATTTACAAATAAAACATTATAACTAATCAAATACTTACCCCACCAAAAACAGCTAACATCAAATATTAAGCGTATGGTGCCGTTGAAGGTGATATGAACGGTCAAACGGCCTAAGGTTTGACTCACTTGTAGGGGACAGTTATGCAATCGCGACGTATTAGTTGTAATTACTTGGTCACACCCATTATTTTTTTATTATTCTATAATTTAACCATAAACCCCAAAAATAAATAAATTTCAGATTTTCAAGATATGTAACATATTACCTTCCTTGTATGTGCAATATTTTAACGCACCAAGTATTAAACACAATATATATGTATAGGTGATAGATATCGAAAAAATTATTAAGAGATATTAATGATAATTAAAAAAAGAATATTCTAATTTGATTTTATTAGGATTTAACGTATAATATCAATATGAATTTTAAGTTTAGATAATTGAGAATAAGTTGGTATAAGATTTATTTTGTAATTTAGAATATATGATAATATAAAACGAGCAAGCTGGTGAATTTCCAAATAGGAAACGTTTGATTAGAGCAGGTCGGCGAGTAGTTTTAGAGGAAAATGTAAAAACGGCACGAGGGCCAAGGTGAAACAAAGAACAACTGAAGGAGAATCGTCAAAGACGATTTGCACGTGAGATTTTAATAAACTGCGTGCCGGTTTTTCTCCTTATTACTACTATTTTATTTATTAATTTGTCACAAACAAATACGGCGTTTATTTCTTGGTAATATTCCACATGAGTGATTCGCCATTTGTTGTTCTTATTTTTCCGCGTAATTTCCAATCCAGATCTTCTATTTTGTCGCCAAATACCTTCACTTGATTACGTTGATTACGGATGGAAAGAAAAAAACAAAATTCGGATATTCGATTTGATCCAAATTTTCGAGTCGGATACCCAAAATTTTAGTTATTTGGAATAATGAAATACGAGATCGGATAATATATTTGAATAACCGAATTTTCAAATTTGTGGTTGGGGTAATTGATATTGTCTCGCGAGTATATAAATAATATAAAATTATTTTTAAAATTTTAGGATTTATATTAGATTTTATGTTCTATTATTTGATTTTAATGATTATATAGAGATTGTTATATATATATATATATATTTATGACGTATTTTAAAGAATTTTGAATTGATATCGGATATAAATAAGTTTTAAATTGATTTTGAATGGTTTTGAATATGTATATATAAATATATTTAAAAAAATTGATTGAAAATAATTAAAACTATTCATGTTCGAATATTCGCAAGATCTCACTAGTTTTTTTAATTAGAATATCCGACTTTTATCGTGTGTGAGTTTGAATAATAAAATATATAATTCGAAAAATTTGGATTCATTCTGATTATATGTGTGTATATGTGTATATCTATATAATATAGGCTCGAGATTGACTTTATCTTATTTGAAGTGTGGTGTTTTGCTCGCGTTCGATACGTACGTTAGTCCAAAGGAAACAAATTAAAATTAAAATTCGACGATCGATTAGAATAATTTATACAATTAATTGCTAAATAAAGAAATCTTTTTGATAGAGAGAAAGTGCACATGCATGGGGTGTTTCGTGAAACAAAATGAAACTTTGACCACAAACCAAAAACCAATCATTTCTATGGTGGAAGATTCTTTTGGATCAATCTCTTTGGTTTAGCAAGACAAACCACTAATTAAGATTAAAATAATTAAACCACTAATTGGAAGTGTTTTCGTTTTGAATTGTATTCCATATATACATATAAAATTCAGTAACATGCGACTTGGATGCATGATTCATAGAAACACACTTATCTATGGTCCTTACAAACACAAACAATATATTTTTTTTTTGATAACCCCTATCTTGCTACCCTTCGGGCGCGCTGATTAGGTAAACCTCCGGTTTGGGAGCAGCCTTTGTATATGTATCATATAAACCCAGAAATTACCTCCCTCCCCACCAGTCAGGAATCGAACACTTAACCTCAATGTGGAGTTACTCTTACCCCAAACTTGACCACTCGCCCACGATCTGTTGGGTACAAATAATATCTTGTTGGACCTTAATTTTGTTTATTTATTTATTTTATAATTGTGAAACCTGTCATACGGTCCATAGGACCGAACCCCGACCGCCACAACCTTCAGATCGGTTTATTTATTAAACCTCCGACGCTTCGCAATAGTCGGCAAATCACATAGAACAGAGAAACCAGTCGAAGCTGACCGACAAGGGGAGTTTAGTTTCGACTGGTTTCGAACTCACAACCTTGTGTAAGGGTGAGCTGTCACTAACCAGTAGAGCTAGAGATTTCTCTCTTAATTTTATTTATTTAATTACAGACGTAGTAACATTTAATTTAAATTTTAGAAAAAACCATAAATGACTTCAAAAATAAAATTTTCTTTTGAAGCATATTCCTCTCTTTTAAAGTGGGCAACTAGTAAACTAACGATTCTTAATACTGTTATTAAATGATGCTCACACACAAACACAGATATATATATCACATTTCATTAGTAATTAATATTCTACAGGGCATGTTACTTTTATTAATTAACGATTTGTCTGGTGCAATTTGATTATTAATGTTATATCACTATTTATTTTTCATATACACCTTTTCCCTATAAAATAAATAAACAGAACTATAGCTCGCAAACCATCAACTAATTAACTATATTCCTTTTTTGGCCAACTATATTTGACTATAAACCAATTTTAATCAATGAATAATTAATAATTAGTGACTAGCAAAACCCAGTGCCCCACTTAGCAAAAATTCCAACCCGAGTAGCAACAAAAAAAAGGTGATTATAACTTAGATTCCATACATCTATCATGAAAATTTGTTCTATCTTATTTTATTTTAAGTTTTAGGCATATGAATTTTTAACAATAAACATAATTTTATGGTTTAGAGCAGATAATATGCATGTAATAGATTAAATCATATTTAATAACAAATATCGTGGGCGAAGAAAATTGATTATTATTATTATTATTATTATTATTATTATTATTATTATTATTATTATTATTATTATTATTATTATTATTATTATTATTATTATTATTATTATTATTATTATTATTATTATTATTATTATTATTATCATATGAATCTAAATCGTGAATTCGTAGATGGGATCCAAATGAAATCAAATTTTTTTAATATAAAAATATTTAAAATGTACAAAAGTAGAGTGCAACTTTCTTCAATAATTGCCACTCTCTTGTTGGCAAGGCCCTTCACCGAACTAAGATTTCGATTTGATAGCATTCATATTATATAATTCGATATTGTCCATTTTTTATGTGCGCACTAAAATTTTAATAAATAATTTAATCTTATTTTGTTGACAGAATATTAGTCTTGATATTATTTTGGGATTGCAAAGTCCAACCATCGATATATCCTCTACTGGAATCTGTAACCTATTGCAAAGTCTTCTTATTAAACGTTTTGAAAACCATTGTTATTGGAAAAAACCATATATTTCTTAAATATATAAAATAAAATAACAATTGTTGATCCATGTATTCAAATTATTTTTGTATTATTATACTGCCACTATCAGTCAATAATATTAAAATTATAGAGCTAGTTTATCTCTCTTAACTTCCAATAAGTAACCCCATTGGATTGTTAATAACATTATATTTTAATTTAGAATTCTTTTATTTTTTTAGAAAACCTTAAAACTGTTATCTCCTCAAAATCATTTAGAGGATCTATCAAGTGGTCTAACGAGAAAAAAAAGGTATCAACAACATAGTATAATCATCCACTTCAATATATATTTTAATTAGAGGATTAACTAAAAACTAAGCTTTTTGTCAGTTTACTCCAAAACAATGCAGCAACTAACACCACCACCTTTTCTAAAAAAAGCCCTTTTATTTTTATTTTTATAATCTTTATGCGTAGAGAGAGGAGTGAGGATTGTCATGATTTGTACAAATAAAATCATATATATTTTAAATTAAAATCATATATAATCTGAAAAGAAAATTAATTCTGCGAACAAATTGAAAATACTATTTAAAAATAAAAATTTTAAATAAATTAAAATTCGAACAAAATATGATCCAATAAAAAAGCAATAAAATATTCCAATGGTTATAAATTGTAAATTTGAAAGAAAAAAAATCAAAATTCAAAGATATAAAAAAACAAAAAAGCTAAATATCCAATTATCGCGGATATCATCTCCTGGAAAGCGAGCTTCATTGCCTTTTAAATTTCAAGATAGTTTCATTTTTTTTTTTTTTATAACTTAGTTTATTTTCATTTTTTTCCCCTGATGGATGCATGGATTTAATAGCTTGAGAGTGTAAAGTGATGCGTGCAATCTTATATACGTGCATGATGATATCATCATAGAATCCAGTCGTTCACAAGTATTATATCCAAAGCGTGAAATCTGCATGATGATGGGACTTTGATCTAATGCATACCCTTTGGCAATTGTTATATAATGTTTAAATTTTAAAAAGATTAAAGTTTCTAAATATATGCTTGCTTTGTGAGGTCACGACCTTAAATATTAACAAATCCAAAAAGGTTAGAAAAATATATAGATGAATGGATCTAAATATTGAAATATTGATATAAAATTTCATTATTATTTTATTAATATAAAAACATTTAAATACAAATTATAAAAAAAACTGGTGAAAAATAATTGTTGCCGAATGTTGATATCACTTAGTCACTTACCAATATCATCCCAAACAAATACGATATAAACCCCCGAATATAAGTTAAAGGATGTAATGGAAAAACCGACCAAACCTGATTTTTTTTTAAAATAAACTTTTTTTTTTAAAATCAATTAAAGCCGAATCTGAATAAAAACCTAGGTGAAATGATTCAAACACAAAAATCAAATCGATGTAGTTTTCTAAAACCGAAAAATCCAAACCTGGGAATAATTGAACCAAACCGAAACCCGACCAATATCCACGACCCCTACCAACAACTAAACCAACCTATATTTACAATCACAACAGAAGGAATACTACGATTTCAATCCCAACAGGGAAGTGGATCAAAGAGAAAGAGAGTGCTCCTCAGAGTTTGGGATTCAACATATCAAAACCCTAAATTTGCTTACAAAGCTTCAGCAATTGGAACGATGGCAAAAGCGCTTCAATGCATACTCATCATGGGAGCCAGATAAAAACCAAAGACCTAAGACTCTGTGTACTGTGCACACAAAACCAACAGAACCAAACCCGACGCACGGCGGATTCTTCATAAGATCGGGCCAACATCCAGATAAATGCTTTCGCAATTTTTCGTACAAACTCATATGCAGGGGAACAAACAAAGAGATCACGGGAAAATGCCTCGAAATCGTAAAGAGTTTCATATTCCACAGCTTTTCCGAAACAAAGAGGAGGGTAAGGCAAAGAAAATACTGGGCAATTCAAAGAGATGTCATAACTTCCCACGGTGAAGAATTAACCGCAGAGAGAGAGAGAGAGAGCAATTCTAATAACAGTGAGAATGATCTATAAGAGCATCACCATATCTCCACATAGAAATGGAGGGAAATCCCCATCCATTGTATTTATACTTCACCTCAGAAATAATGCAAAGAACTGTGTTTGTATATGGAAAACATAACTATGAACTACGGTCCCAGTGTTCATTTAAACATGAAAATGCACTCAGAAGCCTATGAATCAAATCTCCATATGGCCTTCTGAGTTCTGACACAGTCTGCTCACAAACTCACAAATCACCTATAAGGAAAAACGAGAGCAATCCTAAATCTTAACCCAGACTAACCACTGATCCGGCAGAATTCCTTATCAATCAGAAAGCAAAGGTTCTCAAAGTACACGGGTGGTTCAAAAATCACATGCATAAAGCGAAAAAAGAACCCGGTATATGTGGCTGCACATATAGTCTTCCCGTAGCCTGCCAGAAAACCTCACGGACTAGCAGATCATCCAAAATCACAGTAAATAAATTTCCAGAACCAGAAACCAGACTTAGTGTCAATCCAGTTGAGTTCATGACCAGAGACTGATTGTCCTCGACGGCATGGCATACGAGTGGCATTCATGAAACGGGGATATTCAGATGAACTTGCTCAAAGATTAGGTTTTTGTAATTCGTTCATTTTGTGCACAGAGAAGATTTATCAGGTAATCATCTATAAATAAAGACCCTTGTTTCAATTACAAATGTCATAACTTATGCAGAATATCCCTGCTTAGCATAAGATCAAACATGAAGTTGAAGCATTCGAATTCAGGAAAACCAGATCGGAAATGAAAGACTAAAATCGAAATCTATCTAACTCAATGCACAAATCAAATTCCAAATTAAGCAAATATAAATTTACATGTTGCTTCTCGTGTTGCCAGTCACCAAATTCACGTAACAGAAACAACAAACATCAGAATCCATTCAAAATGGAAGTATTACCATAGACGCAAACACAAGGGTTCCAAGAAAAACAAAAGGAAAATCAAATTCCCAGTTTGGAATACACGATCAAAGTTCAGAAATTTCTTTAAGCGCTATATACCACACAAATTTCGAGATCACAAAGAAACTATGAAGCCATACCACCGATTACCAGAAGGAACCGGACGCCAGCGTTTACCGGAACTAAACGATGTCGTTCGGGTGAGGGGCGGCGGAGAGAGCGAGGGGGCGGTGGTGGGCCTCTTCTCCGTCGTCATCGTCGTCGGAGGTAGAGAGGTTGACGCAGGAGCAGCGCTCGAGGGAGGCGAAAAACGCGGAGATGACGGTGGAGCTGACCCAATTCGCCATCTGGTCCAGCTTCTCCAGCGACGTGGCGGTGCTCACATTCGACCCCGCGGATGTCGTCGTCGTGATGCTGCTGCTGTTTTCCATTTTGCTTGCAGATCCGGTTAGGGTTTTCGAGAAGATCGGATTCGAGAATGCGATCGTGGGGAAATGTCGAGGAATTTGTTAGGGTTCCAGAGAGAACAGGTCGTCAGGTCGTGGATTTTGACCGTGAAATAAATTGTTGAAATCGAGCTACTAACACAAATTAATATTAAAATTAATTCCGAAGTTGTCGAAAGCGCATCTGGTGTAGTGGTATCATAGTACCCTCCCACGGTACTGACCGGGGTTCGATTCCCCGGATGCGCAATTTTTATATTTCTTTTTAATATTATTGATATAATCTATATTTCACATTTTTTATATTTTATAGCATAACTAAGGAATTTCTTATATATATTTTTATATTTATTTTTAATATTATCGATATAATCTATATTTCACATTTTTTTATATTTTATAGCATAACTAAGGAATTTCTTATATATATATATTTATTTATTTACTGTTAGAACGAAGAATAATGGTATGGTAGCCGCAATTTTATGAATTAGTTTTTTTTTTCCGATAATATGGAAATTGATCAAGGAATCAGGAAAGTCAAAATTAATGCATTTTTTTTAAATAGAAACTCGAATTTGGATTAGAGAGAGTTTTGCTCTATTTTTTACCCGTTGAACCATCTAAAATTGGATGATTTTATCAAGTGGAGTGGAGGTTTTATTTTCAGTTATCTATAATTTAATAATGCATAGTTTTGCATTTCAAATTAATTGATTGAAATCGGAAATAGTAGTTGGGTTTTTTACAAACCGGCAAAGGGCAAGAAGAAACCGAGGTTGCCTCTATTGACGTCAGCATCGGGAATATTTACATGGCTCTGTGCCGGTTTGACGAGTCCGTGTTCTCATACCAGAAGGCTCTTACTGTGTCCAAGTCCTCTAAAGGTGAGAACCATCCATCGGTTGCTGAGCTTTACCACAGGACGGGGAAACTCCGTGAGCCCAAGCCGTACTGTAACTCCCCCGCAAGAAACAGTCTTGTTCCTCTGCTAAGAAATGGCCGACTCTTGGTTTCAAATTCTGAACCGATATGTATATATAATATTCTTATATTATTTCGTTCTCTAATGGGTTTTCAGGTCGATTTTATTGTGTAACATAATATGGGGCTGAATTTGTTGTGTAGTGTAGTAATTTGAGTTTGTTGTAGCATTTGCCGAGGTGGGTTCTTGTTCGAGTTTTGGTATTTTCTTCAATCGAATTCTGTCTTCTTCTTTTTTTTTGCTCTTTTCCAAATGATATTATAATTGTTTTTATAACAATAATAATAATTACAATAATTTTCGCTACATCTAGTTCTGCTACAAGAGCCTATCACACTGTTAAAATTACAGGGTCTTTTCAAAGGCAGAGGACACCAAAAAGATCATAAAAACAAGAATGAAAAGAAAAAAAAAAAGAAGAAAACTTTTGGGTTACAGTTAAATTATTTCTGACTCTCTCAGATACAAACAAACAAATTCATTTACGGCTTTTACCACAAAACCTAAATCCCAAATCTTTTCTTCTGTACCAAGAAATCCAAAAACTCTAAGTCGTTTTAAACAGTTAATTACAAGAGCTTTTTGCTCAGGAACCTGAATATGGTCACAATTCTCGGGTGCTTTCGCAAGAGCTACCGAGATTCGTCGTCAGGTCGTGAACCAGGAGCCGTACGATATGGCTACCAGAGGATCTCGAAATATCGAGACACTCTTGAAGATCGGCATCACAAGCGATCAAAACCCATTCGTTATCGTCGTCTATATACTTTATATCGAACGTACCTGTGTCAAGTCTCAGCCTTTTTGCAATTTCCTCCTTCAGTTCAGTCACACTCGAGCTTGATGATATCCTGAACCTTATAATGTCTTCTTTGTAACATGCTTTGATGGTTACGCTTCTTGTTTCTGATCCTGAGCCCTCTTCCTTTGTAGGGTTGTGGGAATTGTTGCCGGTGTTTAACCGGTTTGACTCTGGAAGCCTCTGAGAGGAGCAGAGGTTTCTCAAATCTTTTGAGCTCCCTGCGTCTTCTATTGGCATTCCCTGGATAGGGTCAAGCCGGTTTGGCATAGAAAATGATGATGCAGATACATCGACAGCCAAAACTGGTTCTCGGTTCACGGCTGTAGTCTCATCCTGGGGATTACCTCCGCAAGAGCCTTGAGAGGTCGGGGTTTCAACGCTATCATCCCGGTTTTGTGAACGTTTGCATCTGTTGCTTGGTAACTCAGAGGTCCCATGTGGTTCCTGAGGAATGCGACCACTGGAGCCGTAGTTGGGCGAATCATTGTTCTTTGGCGGCTCAGGTTCTTTTGGGCCGCTTGGCGAGTTTAACAGTTTGGCTGTGGCTTGGATTTTTGTCTGAGGAATCGAGCCGATGGCCATGGAAGTAAGGTCGAGAGCTTTGTCAGTGTCTTGAACAGATTCGATGACACGTTTCAGCTTCGTGATCGAACGATTCACTTTCTTGATCTTCCGAGATGGCCACCTCAAGATTCCGTGTTGCCGGCAGATTCGCTTCATTGTCGTAGGGCAAACTGCAAAAAAGAAAAAAGTTCAGACTTTGTCCTTTAACGAACATTGCTCGAGAAAATATATCCAAGCAACCATTATAAACCTCAAAAGAGCTGGAATGATTGACCCAGAGGAGATATTTGAATTAAGAACGTTGAATAGCAGAAATTTGAGTGTGGAGATGAAGAACATATATAAGTTCTAATGTGCTTTATATATATTATTGAAAAACATTATAGTTATGATAAATATCTCAGTGAAAGTTAGAGAAAGAAATATGTGCATACCTCCAAGGCTCTTGGCAGCGTCTTTGAGACTTCCGGTGAAATACTGCTGAAGCACATCTAGACTGATTGTTTTCTCTGTTTTCCCACGTTTTCTCTTCTGCTTCTTCGCCTCCTTAACCACACCATTATCACCGGCCACATTCTTCTCGTTCACTGGATCAGAAGAAGGAACCACGGATGGATGAGGATTCAACCCCGTCTCCCCTGCATTTGATGTAAAACCAGAAGAGGGTACTCGAATAGATTTGATTTTCGAAATTATCTTCTTATCTGGCAACACTTCGATGATTTCAACAGACACTTCATCGGTTTCTTCACCGAAATCAACTCCAGACGCGACCCTCAGGCTCTGAAAATGCTGTTTCATAGTGGTCAGCAGTGAACCCAACATAGAATCTTGCTCGCTTCTGTCCGCAATTTCTGGAGGGAGAAAGAACTCAAGAATGTAATCATCCTCGCCCGTGTGAGAGCTCTGTAGACAAATCGCGAAACAACTGGTCAGCTTGAACATGAGCGCGTAATGTACCAACGGGTACTGGGTTTTGCAGAATTTGGTGACGTCTCGGCAGAAACATGAGTAGCGGTTCATGAATGCACGTCCTGCAACACCTTGGCCTTTTTGGAGATGGTGTTCAAGGCAGGCATCTCTAAAGCCCCAAACATGGGCATCGATCACGTAGCAAGCCACGTCAGTCGTGGACATGCAAACTTGGCCCATGCAGCTCCCGTCGAAGCTGGTGCAGGATTTCTTCAGACCACCACCGTTGGCTAGGACACTTCTGTGCTGGCACGGGACCCAGGTTTGAGCCAGAGGGAGCTTGTAGGTCTCGCATACAACTGTCAGTATCTCCAGAATCTCGGCTAGTGCATTTTGACGGCCCTCATTACATATCTGGAGATCAAAGAATTAACCGGAACAATGTTTTGAGAACTCAGCTGTTAAACGACAACCAATGTGACAAATTTATGACAATTTGTGGCTAACCTGAGTGTTTTGGTGGTCAAGTATTTCCGAGCTTTTCAGATTCACCGCCTGCAAAAGTTATTAATGTTGTTTTAGTGAAGAATCAAGCTGTCTGTGGAGATAAAGTGCTTCAATGTGGCACAGAAATGGCTTTTAGAATGGCGTTTCCATCTTTTCCAACATAAACATACTTGGTGAATCAGACAGACGTGTTCCCGATTCATGCTAGAGGGAAAGCACAGGAAGAGAAACATATGCATGGAAGCGAGGGAAGAGAATCGAACCTCAAGGGCTTTGCAAACTCTGTCCACTTCAGGGGCGTAATGGATCTTCTCTGAGGTCATTATAAGCTCGACAACACCGATGCAGGACTGACCAGAAGGATTAAATATGGGCAAGGCCAGCGTACCACGCACGTTATAGTGCAAGGCATGGTCAAGCCGTGAGAATTCTCTGCTGGAGTAGTACTGTACATTTGGACTCCATTCGGGCAATTTCTGTCGATAAACTCGACCAGGAAGTCCAAGCTCTATATCGCTTTCACTATCCACAGAAAACATATACGTGAGAGAGATCATCCTGTATTGGTTAAGCCCATTGCCGTTAGGATTAAGAACAAAAGGTTGGCCCAAAGTCGTCAGCAATTCACGGCCGTTCTTTCTCACTGGAGCCCAGACCTGAGCCAGGACTTGCTGTTCGGTCGATTCTTTGAAGTAGCGAAGCGCCTGAGTTATCCTCTCTTTGATCACACAGTAGTAGTCTGCGTTCTCCGGAGGGACCAGACCCATCAATGGAGAGGGAAACTGGAGATTGTTACCATTTTCTGCTGTGTTCTCAGCCACCGACGGAGCAGAACCTGCAATTATCAGAGATTTTTCACCTTCAGGTTCTAGAGTTGAAACATCCAACTAAAAAGTTTTAGCATTGAGATTAACTGGTGACATTCGCCGGATGAATATGGAAAGCTAGGGCAAGAATTTGCAGAAAAACAATTAAGGGAAAAGGGCAAGAATACGTATTAACAGAACCACCTGAATAGAGGCAGACAGAAAGTCAAACACAGAAATATCAAATCAACGAGTCCATGAGCAAAATTAAATTCAAGTTTTGAAGCATTTCTTTTCTAGAAGAAAATTTCAAATTAACAGTCAAACGGAGACGCATCGAGAATTCGTGAATCAGAAGGAAGTTACGCGCTCGTTGCTGAAGACTCGGGCATAAGAAACGGAAAAGAAAAAGGCTTGAAGTTCGAGGAGACTAACAAGGGAGAAAGAGAGGATACTCGGCGAGACGGAAAGGAGGAACACCGGAGGCAGGGCTGAGATTCTCGTCGGCGGGAGCAGCGGTGGCTCCTCCGCCGTCGGAAAACGCCCAGAGAGGTGAGCAAGGCTGCTCGGAGGAAGAGGAGACGACGAACGGAGACATGAACTGGTTCGATAAGGAGATGTAGGGGATCTGATCCAACGGCCAAGAACTGTCCAAATTCAGATCATCCAAATCCATCAGCAGCTCCCGCGGCCTCGTCGGCGGAGGAATGACACCGTTTCTGGTGCTATCTTCATCAGGTTCGGACATTTTCTGGGAATTTCTGTAACAGCTGGAAATTTTCCGGGAAAGTTTTCGTACGCGAATTCTCTTCGTCGATCGCTCTTCGTTTGGACAGAGAGAGAACGAGAAAGGTCAAAACGGTAAGTGTGCGATTCCATGGTATCGCATAATCAAACAAAATGAATAAAGTCAGTAAAAACAAATACCGATAATTTATCGAGAACCGATTCTCTGCTTCACATTACAACTGTGTTGGGTATGTATTAAATAAATATTCTTCTGAGATTATATTCACTGCTAAAAAATTTTAAATTACATTATTATATTACTTGACCAGACAAAACATAATACAATAAATGCAACGGAAATATAATACAAATTAAAAGTTCATATATTGTAATTTGGTCGATTTTTTGGTTGGTTAGTTGATTTGTGTGCTTGTATTGTATACTACTATACTATATATAAGCACACTCGCGTATTTACATATGAAAAATGATGTGTTCTCAATATAGAGAGTATCGGTAAAAAAAAAATCTGAACTTTTTAAATTTTAAAAATAAATATATGAACTTTTAATTTTTAATTTGTAAAAAATACATAAAATTTGTAATTTTTGGCAAAACTTCACATAATGATGATCTTACGGAATTATCGCGACATGAACCAATATGTGTGTGTGTATATATATAATAAATAAATAAATGTATGTATGTATGTATGTATGCATGCATATATGTATGTATGTATGTAGATTTTGTATATATATATATATATGCGTGTGTGTGTGTATGTATTTTAGAAAATCGACCAAAAAAAAAATTGAATACCTAAAGAGTTTTAGTGTTAGTGACATTGGGGAAGGGCGTTATTTCAAAATTAAAATACAAGAGATACAAAAACTAACATTAAATGTAAACTTCACTCATAATGGTCGGCTATAGAATAACAATATCCGGTGAAATTACTGGTGCCGTCAAGACCCAACATTACTTTTATTATAATCATGTGTTAACAAAAAAATAATAGTGGCAGTACATTATGTCACACAAGAGGGACTTGTTAAATTTCGTAATTAAGTAATGATAATGATGATGATTAACAAAACCTTAAAGATTATCAAAACATTAAAAAATGTCAACCAAGTGTGGAGAAACACGAAACATCAATTCGACGAAATCGGAAGA